TGAGCTTGCTTTGCTTTGCTTGACTGGTCTTGTGACCCCTTGTTCTCCCCCACTTTGCCTATGGGGGTGTGTCAGAACATATAGCTTGTGCATATTGTGTAGGCTATAGTGGGGTAGCCCATAAGGGGTACAACCCAATTAGGGTTAGTACTTGTACTCAGTTCATTCATAGTTCATTCATTTTCTCGTTCTCATTTTCTCAGTGGCGAGGGCGGCGGAACGGGGCCGCGAGGGCGGCGTGACGAGGCCGCTAGGACGGCGCGGCGCGACGGGACCGCGAGGGCGGCACGACGGGGTTGCAAGGGCGACGCGACGGGGCCGCTAGGGAGGGGAGCGCGACTCAGGCAGAGGCTGAGCGCGCTCCGGGCAGGAAAAAAACGTTGGTGGGCCCTAGGAACAGTTCCCACAGGGGAACCTGCTCTGTACCATGTGAAAATGAACGAGAATGAATGAGACTAAGGGAAAGTTGGGTACAAGTACAAACCCTAGAAAGCTGTACCCCATATGTGCTACCTCACTATAGCCTACAGCAGCTAAGTCATATAAATCTGACAGCATGCATATTGTGCCTGGAAAGGGGCATTAACGTGATAGCAACTCCTTGCTCAAAGGTTGTTGGCTGGGCTGGGTGGCCTGCTGCTGCACTGCAGCACTCTACCGTACCATGGTGGATTGACTCGGATTGGCTGTGGCTACCATGTAAAGATTGAAGGGCATGTGGAGGTGATGCAAAGGGAGTGGAGCACAGAGGGTGGCTGGGCAAGGCCTTCCCTGCACTGTAAACAGCCCAACGTGTGTGAACCTGTGCCTTGTCACACTCAAATATATTTTGAGAGCAGCGCAGGGAAGATAGAACAATTTCATGCAGAGGGGATGCCATGCCTGCCTGCCTCGCTGCCTTAGGCTCCGATTTATTCAATATTTGAAAATACTCTTATGTGTTTGGTACCTGATTATTGAAACAAATTACTTATCACCTAAAATATCAAAGCAATGGTGACAAGATCATCTGATGTTACCTATGTATATATGGTACAGTATAGGTACGGATATATCCGTCACACCATAAAGCTGGCAAGCTAGATCTGAAGACTTGCACATTGTGAACATCCGTCTTAGTGTGATTACAGCTTGCCCTCCTGGCCTCTGAGGTCGTGTCGTGTGTAACCACAACTTACCACTAGAGCATCCTAGCTGCTAAAGGAAGAGGCAATTGCAGCAGTGCCCCCTCACTGTACCCCCACACTCCACTAGTGAGTACATGCTTCTCTGTAGCACCCTCTTTGTGTCCCTCTGAGCTCAAGAAGATTTTACCGGAAGTGTGTGCTGGGAAGGAGGATATGGCACGTGAATGAGGCTATGCGATCATCGTTCAAAGAGGCATAGGAGCACAAAGCCCCATTCTCATTTGCAAAGCCGCTCCGGCATGTCATATCCACACAAGACTTCTGCGCAGAAGGAATTTCAAAACCACTCTCTTTACCCTAATCCAGACTCACAGACTCACAGGCTTGGTCAGTTGGGGGCTAGGACAGTTGGGGCTAGGCCAGTTGGGGGCTAGGTCAGTTGGGGTTGGGGGTTTTAGTTGGGGGCTAGGTTAGTTTGGGGCTGAGACACTCAGGGGCTAAGACTCTTAGAGGTTGAGACACTCAGATGCTAGGTCACTCACAGGCTAGGTCACTCACAGGCTAGGTCACTCACATGTTAGGTCAAGCACAGGCTAGTCCAAGCACAAGTTTGGCGTGACACAAGTAAGATTGGTCCTAGGCTACAATAGCCACAGGTGGGTCACTTATAGCTAGGACAGACACAAGCATGGTTAGTCATAGGCTGGGTCACTCACAACAGCCGATCAGTCATAGGCCAGGTCAACCGCACGCAAGGTTAAATACGAGCAGCGAGTATAGTTTTGACCGACTCGGCCGACTCAGAGGGTCACTTGACTCGACCCTCAACTTCTTGTCACGCTGAGTCAAGTCGGCTCCCGGCCTGGCTGGACATTTGTCGAATCGGCACTCGCCTGGTTGGTGATCGAAACAGCACACCTGACTAGTCTCTACTCGACTAGCTTGTCTCCGGCATTTACCCGTGTCAAGCAACATGTCGTTCAGCAACTGAATCTCTCATTTTCGTGGTCCAATCTCGGCCTGATCTGGTTATTAGTCGTTCCTTGTCGGCCTTGTCATTCATATTTGTCCCACCCCTTATCTCGGCCTTGTCGTTCCTACTTCGACTCGCGAGTTAACTCGGATTGGTCAGAGCCGAGTCGACTCAGAGTAGACTCGAGTCTCCCTGTGCACGTGTCCAGGTAAGTCACAGGCTAGGTGAGGCAAGCTCGGTCAGTAACGGCAAGACCATTCACGGGCTGGGTCAGTCACCGCATAGATTGGTCACACGTTGCGGTGGGCCACTGGGTAGGTTGGCTAGAGCCCGGATAAGTAACAGCGTGGGTGTATCAACGATGGCGAGGAAAAGCAGCACGGGAAGGGCCCGATGTAACAGTGTGGCAGCCGAATGCTGCCAAATACAGTGCAGGTGGGCGGAAGTCAAGCGCCACCTCACCAACTGTTCGCATTGGTCAAACGCCTCAACCTGCAGCTGGGCGACCAGGTCCTGACGCGCAGCCCAACACAAACCCTCGCGCGAAAATTACGAAACGCAGAACACCGAAGTTCCGACCGCTCGCCGACTTCGCCAACAACAACGACGAAATTACAGCCCCGTAACCAAGCTCGCCGTCCAATCCCGTACCGCAATAATTCTATGAATTTCACGACAGGTTCATTCAATGGGGTTGGGTTACCATTGAGAAATTCAGAGAGAGTCGCGACTTGGGAGTGCGACTCGATATTTGAATGTGCTCTATAAAATTGTACTGTGAAATTGTGAAGTCATAGTGCAATTTCCAGAGAACTCCAGAGAGCACTCTATCCTCGTTTTCCTAGCCTCCTAAGGCTGCTACTTCCCTGCCAGCAACGTTTCATGTGCTAACTAGGAAATGTTGCTGTGGTGATTTCACACCAAGATTTGCATGTCCGAACCAAGAGATTTCGAGGGGCTAACCAACACCCAGGTTCGCGAATTCGGCCCATAAGGTTTCGCGTCACTGTGTGTAGCAGGGCGAAACAAGAAGCCCGAACCGAACACTTCGAATACAGGGTTCAAATTGAAGTCATCGCGGTCTGGTACGGTCGAGATGTTTCATTGAGGCTGCTGGGGGGAATGTGCTAGTCATTTTGCGTTGTAATGTAACCCCATGATACCAGATGAGTTCAAACGCGACGTTGACGAATGCCCAGCCCTACTGACCCAACCCTAGGTGTTGTTCGCCAGGAAATCGTAATTTGAAGTGAAAGAGATGGCATCGGCATCGCGACCGCATCTGGAAACGGAGGCGGAACCCACCTCCGAGGTTTGGCCGTAATGCCGTACAAGAAACTTCTGCGCCTGCGGTTGCGAAATTTCGCAACCGCGTCAGGAATCTCCGTCCCCACCTTCCCCCCAATCCCCTTTGAACGGCAATGTGACGGCTGTGCCATCGCTGTGCTTCTAAAAACGCAGCATGGAGCATGGTGATGGCATGGCTTGGGGATGGAACTTTGCCTGGGGACGAAGTTGCGTTCCCGCTGCCATATGCCGTCGAGCAGTTCGTTTTGATTGACAAATGGGGGCGTTCGCCAGACACCCACTTTGATGGTTGGTTTGGACGGTTGGGGAGGCTCGGCACCTTTTTTACGGGCTGACTAGGCTGACGGAGGTAAACGAACCCTAACTGTAGGGATCAGGAAGGCGAGACCCACCTTCCTGATCCGTCGGTTCCCATGTTTTTTTGCGCATTGGTGCTAGCGAACAGCCCCCTAATGATGCAATCTCCAGTCCCTCCAAATCAGACTCATATGACTGCGTATTGGAAACGTCGCGCGATCGATTTATAGAGCACATTGGAGACGACGGTTAAGCCAAGGTTCACGGTCACTCCCCAAATGTTTTCCATTCGATGACAGCACGCAAGCACTGCATGTCAATTCGGTGCGGTCGAGAACTTTCAGCTGTTGCACCGTCGCCGTGCCACGTCATGATACCGTCACGTCACGCCACGGCGAGGTTGACGCTGTGGGGATGCGTTTACCCTTGGTTCGTATGAGGCGCGAATAGGCATGATGTAGCTTTCACTGAATGGACAGTATCCACCCCGTCGAAACATAGTACCCGCGATGGAGTGCTGGGCGCGGCTCGTCGATGCGATTGGTTAGACTTCGAACGACAAGGGACTGGCGAAATGGGATCGAGAGAGGCGAACGGTGCAATAAATTTGTATCCCATCGAGAGATGGCGGGATGGGCGTGCGAGGCGAGCGGATGACGAGTGGCGTAGCGCGAGCTGTGCATGACTCATGGCACCTCGGAGGTGACATGCCTCCCTCGTTTCATCATCCTGTTCTGCCATCGGCCCTCTCCCTGCCCCCTCTCCCTTCCCTCGCTGTAAGCCAGCATCAGCATCGAGTTATTTTTTCCACTCCCGCCAAGATCTTCCTGCTAGCACACTTCCCTCTCCGTTACCTCGTGTGGCGTTAATCTTTCTCCCAACGTTTCTCCCCCCTGGATGCTGAGCGTTGTCAATCTGTCTGCTGAGAAGCTCCTGCCTCCCAACGGCCTCCTCGCCGCTGCCGCCCTTCCACACACAAGGTACGCACAGCCCTCATCCGTTGTGTCACTGGTGCCTCGCCGCTGCCCCTCTTCTCCTGTGCTTTCCCTACCTCACTTTTCCTACCGTTGCGTCCTGCTCCTTCCCTTCCACCCCTGCCTTGCTGCGCTTTCCATGTTTCAATTCACTTTCATGTTTCATCTTCTCATGTCCAATCTTCTTCTGCCCCATCTTCTCGTCTTCTGCTACTACTGCTGTAACCGAGTTCGTTTGTTTATTCTTTTTCCTCCTTGCTTTCTTAACCAACCGTTTTCTTCCTCCCATTGTCATAAGAATCAATGCTTTTGACGGAATTCATGCACTTTCGGCCTGTTCGTTTCTCTTGCCACCAGATTGCGCTTTCCGTTCGGGTGCTCCAGCCCAATCCAATCCATTCTTGGGTTCACCTAACGAGGTGCGCCGGCCCACGCCATCCATCTCTTTGCTCGCCTCGTCACTCCCCCTCACGAGGTCCGTACTCGCCGCATCATGGCTTCTTCTCTCCGCACTCTTTTGCCCTTTAGCATGCCTCGCCGTTCCTTCCGAGTGCTTCCCTTGCTGTGGCTGCTTCCGTTTACTGCGTGCCTATCTGCATCCACCTCTCACCACACTGTGCTCTTTCATCCGCTTCCATCACTTTGCTCTGCTCTCTCCTTCCAACTCTTTCGCCCTTGTCTCGCACCTGTCTGTTGGATTCACATCTCACTGTCATTCCGTTGGCCGTTAGTCTCATCGAGCTGGCTCATTCTTCCAATTTCCCTGATCTCCCCAAATCCGCACCCTCGACCTTGGATTCACGTCTGTCATATCACTTGTCGCGAGTTTTATCAAACTTGCTCCCTCTTGGACCTTAGGTTTCCTTTTCGTCCGTTCTTCACTTGGCATTCGCTTGACCCCGATGCACATATACTCGATTCGTCTCCATCTATGGCCTCGTCACCTCTCTTGCACTCAGTGCACCTGCACCATACCATATGCTTGAGAAAGCAACCGATCCGGTTTGGATTTGCTCTTTCCCCCGCGGCTGCTGCTTCTCCCATCTTTTTATCTGGTGGTACTCTTGGTTCTTTCCTCCCACTGCTTCCGCTGCTGCTACTTGTCCCTTTATGTGGGAATAGACGCTCAGAAAGGCGAGCGTCCAGCGTATATACGCTGGCGTCTGTACGTAAGACGCTGGATGCTCGCTAGGGGCAGCGTATATTGCAGATCGCATCTTAATTTTTCTGCCCTACTCCCACCGTTCCCCCTGTCGCCCTTTGTGTTTCCTTCGAGCATTGACAACCTGCAAGCATATCTCCTACCAATTTCCTACCTAGACCCTCTCCACCCCCCCCCCCCCCCCCCCCCCCCCCTTCTCCCCCCTTCCCTCTCTCATCCCCCCCATGTATATGTTCTCCATTTGTCTGCTCCTGTCCACTCAATACACAACGTGACTTCCTCTTCCCACGACCACTCCCCTTCTTCTCCTGCTACCAATGGCCTCCCTCCCTTCACTTCATTCTGCATCCAGTCCACTGTTCCCCACTCCTGTCCACATTTCAGGGCTGAAGCTACCTTGGCAGAAACGAAGCATTTGTCAACCTATTTGAACGCTTTTTGGGTGCAAATTGAGATGATGGCTGCGGAACGGGAGGTGAATGAGCTTAGTGAGGCAGTTAGAGGGCTGTTTGCGATAGTGAGAAGGGAAATGGATGAAATCAAAGAAGAGTTGGCAAGGGAGAGGGAGGAGAGGAGAAGGGAGGTGCAGGAGTTGAACTGGCCACGTGTCATGAAGGAGTTGGCAGCTTGTAAGGAATGGCAGAACGTTCAAGACATGAAGCTGAATATTGAGCTGGAAATGAGGGAGAGCGAAGGCGATCGGAAGAAAGCATTGAAGGTGAGTGTTGGGATCCTGTTCCCGGGGGCGTTCATTGTCCACATGCCATGTATTGTCATTGTCATGTAATCCCTCTCCACCTGTTTGCTACAGGCGATTAAGGCGGCATCACAAGCGACCCAGTTGACGCTGAGTCATCTCAACAGCCTCTCCCGCGACATCCTCCACCTTGTGTCCACCATGACCCACCTGACGCGCATTGACTTGTCGTCTAGCTCAGGCTTCAGTGCAAAGGGCATCAAGCACCTCTACAGGCTGCCACAGCTAGCGAAGCTAGACCTGGATGGCACTGTCGTCTCAGACAGTGCCTTAGAAGGGATTGGGTCCTTGACCAGTCTCGAAACCCTCTTTCTCCACCGGACCAAGGTGACCGATGCTGGCCTCTCGCACTTGACAGGTCTCTCCTCTCTCAAAGTGTTATGGCTTTCTAGGTGCGGGGGGGTGACGGATGCGGGAATGGTGCATGTGGGGAGGCTGACAGGGCTTGAGAGGCTTGATTTGGATGGCACAGCAGTCACGGATGATGGGCTGCAGCAGCTGACTGCCCTGACCAAGCTGACAGAACTGTGGATGCCATTAGGGGGTTGCCTTCGAAACGATGCTTTACGCAGACTGATAGGCAGGTAGGCTGGCAGGGAGTGATGGTGGAGTGGGAGGTGAGGTGAGGGGGGATGTGGCTGTGTTTTGGTAGGGAAGACCGAAGAGGGGAGGCATGCATGCGGAAGTAGATGCGGGGCTGTTTGGGAAAGAGACTACAGTGTGCATAAAGGGAGCTGCATAGGAATTGCTTGCCATGATTCTTCTGATGGAGTGGGAAGCAGTCCATAGCAGGGCGGACAGGGAAGGGGAAGTGGAAGGGGGAGGCCACGTGGAGCAGGAGTGGAAGGGGAGGCAAGGCAGAGAAGCTGGGGACAAGGGCGGGCAAGAGAACTGAGAGGGAGATGAGCATGGTGGGTACAACAGCAGTGGCTGCAGCAGCGGCTGCAGCAGCGGCTGCAGTAGCGGCGGCAGCAATGGCGGCAGCAGTGGCGGCAGCAGTGGCAGCAGCAGTGGCGGCAGCGGTGGCAGCAGCAGCGGCAACAGCAGCAGCAGGCGAGCGTTGAGATTAGGTGTGAGTAATGTCTCCCATGGCCGCATGAGAAATGCCTGGCTGTTTGGGTGCAGGGTTTGCAAATATCTGCAACAAGGGGAGGGGAGGGTATAGCGTGTTGGGTATGATGAAACTAGCAAGACAGTGTTTCAATAACATGAACACCTGAGTACAGTCTGTGGGATTTTTCGTGTTCCTTTGATACTGCCCCAGTATTACCGGTACCCATGATTTGCTGAGATGGTGGATATAGGGTCTGAGATGCTTGACCTGGATGGCACAGCAGTCGTGCGGTATCATGAGAACTGAGGTCCCTGCTATTCCTCAAGGGAATTATGTTGGTAATAGAGGGTAGGTAGCGTGGTGGAGACTGATGAAGGGGGAAAGGGACATCAACAGCTACCGAGGAGAAACTTGTAGGCAAGGAATAAATTGGAAAGAGGTGTTTGCAAGTTGGTGACTGGGCGAGCTTTGCCTGTACGCAGGTAGGTAGGAAGTACATGTTAACTTACCGATAACTAGTTACGGAGGTCAGACTATTGGGGAAAGGTAGAAAGTGTACCACTTGAGCCTGTTGTCAATCTTAGCATGATGGAAGACAACAAAATCCAGTTGCTGCCACAACTTCAGAAACGAGAGTGCAAAGGGGTGTGTATATGGGATAATGGGATGAGCTATCGGACGAGGTACGTGTTAGAAAGCTAGAATTGATACATTGAATGATGAGCCAAGAGGCTCTTTAGTACAAACAATGAGCAAAAGAGAGATGAGAGGAAAGCTCACCCTATTGGCCAATAAGTTGGCCAATGGGTGAGCTTGCTTGTGACCCAAGCAACCACAAATGTGTGTTGGTTGGGATTGGTTGAGCTAAGGACCAATCCCAACCAACCACAAAATGTGGTTGGAGGGTACACTAAGCAACCCCCCAATTTATGAATGTGCTACACTTCTAGCCTATGTATGTTGTATGAAATATGAAATTACAACAGTACGGGATGAGGCATGGGTTTAGATGTGGGGTGAGGCGTGAGGATAAGGTACGAGATGAGCCGTGAACTTCGAAACATTCATTTTGTTTAAGAACTTGTAGTTTTTTTAGGCGCCAAGAAATAATATCTGCTGCACTCAGAGCTGCACTGACGCCGGATCGTCTTGAGCGGGAAATTCAGAACAATCTGCCGCACTCTCCCTGCATCGAGGCACATGTGAGTCAATCCAGGCTGCAGCGAAGAGTTCCAGCTGGTAAGAAGGGAGTCCCGTTGCCCTCCGTGGATTGCCCCCAATGAACAAACTGATGCAGTTGTTGAGCTGGTGGGAGACAGGAGTATGGAATAGGGAGAAAGGGGGGGAGGGGGGGGGGGGGGGGGTGGCGGGGAGGGGAGGGAGAGGTGGAGCGAGGGGCGAGGTGAAGGGAGGAAAATGGAAAACTGGGTGAGAAACGGGGAGTGCTGACAGCTGGTAGGGAAGGCCGACATTGCCCATCAGTGCTCCCGCGCACATCCATATAAACGCCCGCATATTCTCGGTTTCAACAGTGGACTCACGAGTCACCACAACAGGTGCAGCAGTTCTCATCTCGCCCACACTGCCGCTCAAGCACCGCCCCTTAACCCCACCACCCGTTAACCCCCATTCACATTCACCTGAAGGCCCTCTCTGCTGCAGCAAGGGAGGCAAGGCAGAAAGGCACGCCCCCTGAAGCGGCATACCATATTAGGGTAAAGCGGGGCTGTTGCCTCCCAGACGCTCATGGCAAGGCAGAAAGGCACGCCCCCTGAAGCGGCATACCATATTAGGGTAAAGCGGGGCTGTTGCCTCCCTGACGCTCATGGCAATGCAGAAAGGCACGCCCTACAGAAGCAGGTACTGGGTGTCAATGTTGGACGGGTCAGAGCTGATTCAGGTGCATGTGATGAGAGGGATAGGGGAGGGGAACGGGAGAAGGGGGGGAGGGAAAAGGGAAGGGGGAGGCGAGTGGGACGGGACGAGGGGGGGAGGGGGAGGTGAGGGGGATGGGACGGAGGGAAAGGGAAAGGGGAGCGAAAGGAGAGCAGAAGGGGAGAGGAAGGGGAGGGGAAGGGGAGCAAAAAAACATGGTAGAATATAGAAAAGCTTTTAAAACTAAGATAGCGGTTTAAACATGGCATTTGCGAAGGGGAGAGGAAAGGGAGGGGACGGGGAGGGGAAGAAGAGAGAAAGGGGAGGGAAAGGGGAGGTAAAGATGAGGGGAAGGGGTTGTTGGCTGGTGTACAAAAGGAACATGCTTGGTTGAGTACCCATACTCAACCATGCACTGGTGCCATATGGCCACAAACGCCTTGCAAAAACCATACCATGCACTGCAAACCATGCACATGCACACATACCACCCACCCAACCACTCACCTCACCATGCGAATCTTGTGGCTCGTATTTGCCAAGACAATGCTTCGGGCTACACTGTTTGGCGCCTCTGATGGTTCTTGCCTCCGCTGATATGCCATGCCGTGCCACGTGCCCACAAACACACAGTCAGAATCAACGCACAGTAGCTGTATAAGAGAGAGCGGAGGGCGGGAAGGAAGAGGGAAGGGGTGAGGGGGCGTACGAAAGCAGGGCAGCAAGGAACGCAGGCATGAGCACATGAACATATTGTCTGCACCGCACTTAACTGAGTGAGAGAGGAAGAATGACGGGGAGGAAGGACGAGAGGGAAGAAGGGAGCGGGGGTTGGGGAAGAGGTAACGAAGCAAGGACAACAATGGAGGACAAACACACTGCCAACGCACATAAACTGAGTGCGAGAGGGGGGAACGGAGAGGATGGAGGAGGGGGGATGGATAATGCAAGGCCGCAACAGTCTAATGCTACTCTATCCGTGGGATATTGCATAAATGCTTGGCACAGGCACAGGCGGGGCCACTCGAGAACAACAGGCATGAGCACGTGCCGGCCTGGCCCAGCTTGCTGGATACCGGCCCACGGCTCGGCATATAAGGCCGGCCATTTCTGCTCGCACCCACACCCCCATTACTCCCACACACATCCCCCCCATGCTCGCGCCCATATCTCCCCTTGCCCGCGCCCACACCGCGCCCCCTCTTGCTCACGTCCACACCCCTCCCTGCTCGCGCCCACACCCCCCCTTTCCACGCCCAGACCCCTCCCGACTCGCCCACACACCCTCCTTTTTCACGCCCACACACCCCCCTTGCTCGCGCCCACATTTCCCCTGCTTGTGCCCATACACCCCGCCTGCTTGCTCCCACACACCCTTTCTTCCCACTCAGGAGCTGGTGCAGACCCTTTCTTCCCAAGCTGCAGCGCAGGAGCTGGTGGCTGGTGGAGAAGGCGGCGCCTGCGCCCCTGTCCCCGTGAGCGGCGGTAGGTGGTGCTGGTGGGAGGGAGCAAGGCAAGACGGAAAGAGAAGAAGCTCAGCAGTCTGACTGAGGGCAGGGGGTCTGGGAGGCGTGGGGTGGAAGAGGTGGAAGGGGGGAGGGGATGGGGGATGGGGGGATCTGGGGAGCAAGACCAAGTAACAGACAACAAACATGGAGAGGTGGTGCGATGGGGAGAGGTAGAGGGGAATAAAGAGGGGATGCTGGAGGGGGAGGAAGCATGATGAAAGTGGACAGAGGAGGGAATTGTGAGGGCAGTACACAAGGGCAATGGTAGGGAAAAAACAATGAATTCATGTTGTAATATCCTTTACAAATCAAGCACGCACAATCGATCAGCACATACACATGCAAAAAGGCTAGGATTCACTCACGTGGGCGTTTCCTGAGGCCCTCATAGTCGTTGACCCACGAACTTCAGCTGTTGGGTTGAGTAACTGCTTTTCCCCCCAGGCCGCGTCCTTCAGACCAGCTCGCACAAGCTCCCTTCACTTCCTCGCCGTGCTCTATGCTCTTCCTGAGAATTGCAAACGTTCACCATATAACCACAACTGCATGCTGTCATCCATTTTTCCTCCTCCATTACTATGCTGCTCATGTCTTTCCCTCCATCCTCCCCCCTCCCCTCTCCATCTCCCCCCTCCCCTCCCCTCCCTCCCACTCCTCCTTGGTGGTTGGCTGATGGTGCAACACAGAGGCACCACATTCCAATCAACTTTGACAAATCTCATTTCCTGCGCAACACAACAATCACACCTTCTCTTCCCCTGTCTCCCCTATCTTCCCTCCCCCTATCTCCCCTTAACGGAAGGGGGAATAGCGTGGTCCGGGGGCGCGGGCGGCCCTACCAGCATGGTGTGGCTGGGGGGTATGAAGCTGGGGTAGGCGGGGACCGGAGAGGAGAGGGGTGGGGTAGTTGTCGCAGCTGCATTGGCCCCGACAGCGCGGCTCCTGTCGACTGCCCAGCCTGTCTCACTAATCCGCCCTCACTAGCCCTGCTCTGCTCCCCACTCGAGCGCCTGAAAATCCATCCCGCGCCCTCTCCGCCCCTGCTCCACTCCGCCAGCGTCACCGCCCTCAACCCCCTCATCACCGCACCCCGCTCCTCCTGCGCCATTCGCATGTGATCCGCGAAAACAGTCTTCCCCGCTGACCTTGCGCAGCTTTAGCCTGCTTCTCCCACCAATCCCTGAGGCTGCCCCTGAATATGCCACATCGTCCGCCCTTGTGGGGTTGGTTGCTGCGGGCGAGCCCGTTCGATCTCGCCCAACGCGACACCTGAGGAGCGCACATTGCGGAGGCAGCAGTGCATGGATCAGGTGGCAGGTAACAGGTGGCAGGTAACAGGTGGCAGGTAACAGGTGGCAGGTAACAGGTGGCAGGTAACAGGTGGCAAGTAACAGGTGGCAGGTAACAGGTGGCAGGTAACAGGTGGCAGGTAACAGGTGTTCCTCGAGGGCGGCGCGGGGCGACTCTGCCACGTGTGAATTCTGGCAAGCGTCGCATTCAGCAAAATATTCAGCAGCAGAGTTCACGGCGTGGGATGCGATGAACAGGTTGGATGGCAGGTACACACGCGCGACGTCCAAGTGGCACACACGCCGTGCACACGCTGCTGCTGGTGTGGGAATTGTGAACTGCCAGCTCCGCCCTTTCCACGAGGAAGGCGGCAAAAACACATGCGGGACAGTGGGGGCCTTGGGGGGGAGCAGGGGGAGAAGGGGAGTGCAGGAGGACAGGGGAGACGGCATCAGAATATGATGGTTGGCATGCGGAGTAGCCAAGTGAAAAAAACGTGACATGGATGCCGAAAAGGGGGTTGTCCTGGCATAACTCATCTTGACCGGCGTGACGCACCTTGGCTCGCATCGCTCGCTGCAGCAGCAGCTGCAGAACACGCTCCACCAACCACGACTTCCTCCCCCTCGCCCTCCCCGCCCTGCTTCCCCTCCTCCCCCATCCCGTCTTCCGAGGAGTTTTTGCGGCCGACGACGGCACCACCTGCAATGTGGCCTGCTGCCGGGACATGTCAGCAACGGCGCACCGCACAGCACCACAGTCTACGCTACGCGTCCTCCACGCACCGACCCAGTGCCGCTGCCAGTGACTTGATAGCAGTAGACAAAGGCACTTCCACCACCCGGGGGCCAGTAGCGCCGCCTGGGAGAATCCCCGGGAGGCATGGTGTGCTTAGCAGCCGCGTGGAGTGGCAAGGTGAGGCTTAGCAAACAGCGGGTCAAGTGGTCTCCATGCGCGATTTTGCAAGTGCACTCTGCTTCTGGGGGGGATGGTGCTGCGAGAGCTAGGTTGCGTCTGCCCGCCTTCATTACGGCAGACTAGCTTCACTGCCACCACTGCTGGCTGCTGCTGCTGCTGCTGCTGCTGGTAGTGGTTCAGTGCCTGGCTGTACGCTGCAGCGATGACCTGGGCTCCTCACGACAAGTACAGGGCAGGTGCTGTTGGTGTGGGAAGGGGAAGAGCTGGGAAAGAAGGGCGGAGGGGGGGAAGGGAGGGAGGGGGAAGTGTTAGACAGGTAAGCAAGGGGGGGAATCCAAGTAGCAGGATCGGATGGGATCTTGAGAGGACGATTCATTTTCGTCACATCACATCCTTTGCAAGTCCTCTCACTTGCGTAGGGCAGCGGACTGAGGAAGGTCAATGGTGGTATGGGTGCAACTCCTCTCACCATTGACCTACCTCAGTCTGCTGAGAGACTGTTAGCAGGCGACTTTTGAGTCCTAGCTTTGTGTACCCTCAAAAGTCACCTCAGTCTGCTGAGAGACTGTTAGCAGGCGCCCGCATTCATTCCAGCTTCTGCCACGACGCAGAGGTGCGTTCACCATCAGCCATTAGACGAATATGGCGCGAGAGCGATTCGCAGTAACACCCTATTTGTTAACGAATCTAGGTGACGTATTATGGAGGTGTGAGTCGGATAGCAGATCATACCATACTACCTAGAGAGAAAGCACAGAACTGCGAATGCTGTCAATCATGATGCTTTGACGGTAGCTGAGAGATGGATGAGGGATTGGTGAAGTGGAGCTGGGAAGTCCTAATGAAATTTGTCAACGAAACTAGTGCTTATGCAAATAATGGCTATCAGCTTCCTGCCTGGACGTAGGTCAGACACACGCTCTAGGCCAACCAAACAAGGTAAGTTAGCATTCAGGCTAAATCAGGCATACATGATAGGTACAGGCATTCAAACTACGCCGGGCATACAGGTTAGGTTAGGTCAGAAATAGAGGATGTGCTAGGCATGCACGCGTTATGAGAGATCGTTTCTTCCTCCCACGCCTCCCTCTTGCCTGCCCCCACCCACTCGCTGCTGACTGCGCGAAGGTGCATTCCTCCCTTTTCGGTTTCTCTCACCTCTGAAGGAATATATTAGAGAGAGTAGCAATAACGAGAGAGTTTCTGCTATCGGAATGATGTTGCGCCAGCAACTTGATAGAGTTTCGGTAGCGTTTGCCTCTAAGGACTTGGTGGGAATTGAAGTAGCATTTGGAGTTCACTAGGAAAATAGAAAATATATATCAAACACACAAGCAAACACAAACATATATAGGCAGGCGAGGGTTTCACAAGAGGTTGCGTGGGCGCTGCGAGTAACCCAACCCCACGAAAGTGGTGTGTGGGTGAGCGAACGCGCCTCGCCAATTTCCCAACCCAACTCAGCATCGACTTCTCGCTTCCGTGCACACCACTCCACCAACACAGCAAGGAGTGGTGCGACTCTCAAGGAAGCACCAACGACTCCCACGGACTCTCGCTTCTTCATGCAAACTCCTGCGCAGTTGCACATAGTCACACGTAGTCACACCCGACCTCCACCGAACTCATTCGTCGGTGCCGAGTAGACTCAGTCGTTAGGCGTCGACCTGCCAAGTCAAAGGTCATCGAGGGCCCTTGCTGTTGTAGGGCCCTCTAACACTCCCCTGCCATACTACAGCAAGGCCCTTTATAATCACAGGGCATGCATACACACATACACGCCAAAACAAAGGGAAACACACACAAACGAAGCACTCTCAAAGTGCAAACACGCACCGCACCAGCCATGGATAGGCCATGGCACCATCCACATCATGGAGTGTTTAGGTCTCACCCCCCTCACTCGAAAGCCTCACCTGCCCCACAGCCTCGAAGCAACGACTGAAGGCGGGGAAATGCAATGCCTTCGTGAGGTAGTCAGCAGGTTGCTCGCTAGTAGGGATGTACTGCAACTGCAGCTTCCTGCGCTTGACCATGTGCTGCAGCCACATGTGGCGACGCTCCATGTGCTTGAGGCTCCCCTTGAGCCCCATGCCACCTGCCACTGAAATGGCGGAGGAGTTGTCCACAAAGAGAGTAGTGGGCTCCTCACTCCTCAGCAGTTGAAACTCTGCCAGCAGGAAGCGCAGCCTGCGCGCCTCCTTCCCAACCTCCACAGCAGCAACATACTCAGACTCAGTGGAGGAGAGGGTGGCGCAACGAATCCTCTGGCTCGCCCATGAGACAGCAGCACCCCCAAGCACGAAGACATAGCCACCTGTGCTGGTCCTATTCTGCTTGTCCCCTGCATCATCAGCATCGGCGTAGCCCACCAGCTCCAAGGACTCCGGCCCACCACGGTGAGGGGCTGTGCATTAAAGAGGACGAGAGTGGAAAAGGGGACAGGGTAAAGAACGTGGGAATAAGGGGGGATAGGGGGATGTGGGGAAAGGGTATGTGGTTGCACACTGCTCAATGCTCATGATCTCATACACCACCTACCCAGGAGGGTGGTCAACTTCTAAGAAGGTAGCTGGGGAGGAAAAGAGGGGGAAAATTACATGGAGAAACAGAGGATGAAAGGGGCAAGCAGGAGAGGGGTGTGGAAAATAGGGGACGGATGTAGGAACATCGTTTCACATGGGAGCAGGAAACTAGCGGTGACAGGGGGGCAGGAGGGAGAGAGATGGATGAGTGGACGTGAAGAGCTTGCATCAGAGCAAATGAATGGGTTTCGGATCATGGTGATGGAGACACATGACAGACACGTGCGAGTGAGCATGCGTGGGTGGCCTGATGGGGATTTGAACCGTGCGTCAGAATGATAGCTTGACAATGAACCTAAACTCAAGTCAGATGCATCAACTAGCTACATCACTTATACATATCTTCATTCATGGCATGTGATGATGCCATATCCTTGCGCATCGTTTCATCCATCGTTTGGGGTCTAAACACCACACGTAGCCAGCAGCGTGCAGCTAACACCCATGTCAAAAAGGTTGCTTGCATCCAACACTTCCCCCGCCCTCCTATCTACACCTCCTCCTCCGCTGCTGTGCTCTGCCTCCCACGCCTCTCCTGCCCGCCTCCAACCCACTCGCCACTAACTGGCTGCACTGCCACCCCTGCTGCTGCTGATGCTGCTGCTGCTGCCCGTGGCTCTGCCATGCTGTCGCTTGTGTGACGCAGCGATGAGATTGACTCCTCTTGACTGGTCCAAGGCAGGGTGCTGTTGGTGTGGGAAAGGGAAGGGAGTTTCAGGGAGCAAGCAAGGAAAGAAGAGGTGTACTGTTCAACGGGGAGGGGGAATATTAGAGAGCTGATGGTATTGCACACAACAAGGGGGTTGTTAAGAAGCGCCAAAATGGAGGGGGGAGGCGGGGAAAGGGGGGGTTGAGGGGGGTTGTTAGGGTGAAAATGCAAGGGGTGGTATGCATTCCCAGCATCACATGAAGGGCGCTATCAAGCAATAAGGGCGTGTAACTTTTTATCTTTCTGACCGTCCGGACGGCCCACCGTCCGGTCTTTTTCAGGGTTACCAACTTCGGCAAATTCCGTCGACGAATCAAAGACAAAGCGAACACTCACGATATCAGTAACCCTTCAAAAGTCCGGACGATGGGCCGTCCGGACGGGCAGAATTGGAAAAAGTTACACGCCCTAAGCACAATATATTCCGACACAACAAACCACACTCACTACGAAAACTAGTTAAGATCCAAAGGAGCCTCAAAGGCTGCAGTGGAGGCATGAGCAAGGGTCCGAGCCAAGCAGACTCGTCACGAGCAGCGCTGCGCCGAGCCGGCAGCTGGCCCGGCTTGTGGCTGGTCGGATCAAGACAAGAGGGGACGAGCTGGTCTCGGCCAGTACGGCTCGGCACCGACTGCCGGATCCGCGAGGATCGGGAATCTCGTCGCCAGACCCGCGCATAACACAGCAAATCACGGCGGGAGGAGGAGAGTGCACATGGCTCCTTACTGGTTCAGGGCAGTGCTGTTGGTGTGGGAGGAGGGAGAGGAGAAAGACCCAGGGCTGAGTGTCAGAGTGAGGAGGGGGGGAGTTGGTCCGACGACATGTGATGGTATAGCGCTTGGGAAAGCAGCGCTCAGATTCGTGGCACCTCGTCGGCAAAGTAGCGCCAGAAATTATGGACGGAGAGCACAGATGGGAGGGCAAAAACAGAGGAATATACAACGATAAAAAAATCCTTCGACATTGTAGCAAAGTTGCCGCCCCTCCAGCTCGCTCCACCCACCTCCGCGTTGGTACCCTAACGCTGATCGTCATGCTGCTGCCAGGTGCTGCCAGGTGACGCTGATCGTCAGCTGAGAGGCCGTCAGCTGAGAGGCGCCACGTTCCACCGACTGGCACGATGCACTAATGCATCCACCGGCAGAAAATGCAGCGACGAGAGCAGCTCTGGGAATGAGACGCATGGGAACGCATTGCTCGCACATCCACTCTGCCGCGTCAGCGGAGTAGCGCCAAAAACGGCATACAGGGAGCGGATCGGCGACGACGCGCATCACGACTCGAAGACCCTGATGCAGTGGTTGTTGGGAAGCTGGGGAGATGCTGGATTATGGAAGCCTGGAGCCACTATGGGATGCGATCATAAACGGACTGTGCCACTGCGCAGCGGTGCGTCCACCCACGGCGATCGCCGCGAATGCGGCGATGCTGCAATTTTAGAGCTGAGAAAGGCAGCGAGAAAGTTGCGAGCGCACGCGAAAACAATGGCACACAGAGATCCTTCGCCATACGTTCCCCGCCTTCTAACCTCGCAATGACTACATCGCGTGCAACCCTTGTAATGATGATTAAGTCCATGCGAATTGACTCGGACAGAGGATCGCTAACACGCGCGCGGCCTAACAAGTTGCCCTACACGCGACCGAGACTTTGAATCATACTTCGACGACGGAAGCGTAGGGATGGTTGGCAAAGTATCTGTGAGGTGGAATGTTAAAGTGCCGAGGGGCTATCCGAAACTTGAGTTTGGCGAACTTAGCTCAGAGTGAAGTTGGGTCGGTTCAGACAAAGCCTATATCACTTAGCTAAGTGCTGGTTGAAAGGGCATCTCTCAACACTCGGTTATGGCGATGGATGCTAAATACAAATGAAAGTGGAACTTGGTAGTCGTTTTTTCTGCAGTGTGACATTGTGTTACCAAAGACGATCCAACACCAGCCTGGAATGAACACGCTGTCAGCATCGGTTGGAACACAAACACAGCTGGATGAGCAACCCTGATACGATCATGTCACTATCGAAACGACGTGACGAGTCAGCTTATAGCGAGAGCCTCGACTGACGAGTCGGGGAACGACGCGGGTCAACGCGGGGCAAAACTGTGGGCTGCGGGAGGCAAACTGTGCACAGTTTGCCTTCGTTTTTGGTAATTCGGGTCTTGGGCTTTAATTCACTATGCATTCGTCGAGAATAGCCCATCCTCATCGCCGAATATCCTAGTACGTAAAAATTGTTGGGAACAATAAATCTTAAGCGCCTCTGTCGTGTCGAAACTCTGGATACAAAAGCGAAGCACTCCGAATCGAAGCATCGCGAGTCAACCCTCGGAGGTTGGGGTAACCGCCTGGAGGTTACGCGAAAGTCAAAGGTCAGCGACCTTTGACTTGACCAATACAGCGCGACAGCAAGGACACACAACTGACTCGACATTGAGCAGTTGCCCGAGTCGCACTGTATCGAATCGCAACAGCAATACAGTTATTATATCTATTCGTATTCCTTGTACTCTTATATAAAGCCTTGTATTTGCTTGTTTTAATCAACTTACTTTGCCCTCACATACTAGCGCAAGGTGGTTCAAATCCTTTACTTCAACGCTTCCGCTATTACAATCCTACTTAGTCTTTAACTCTACAAAGATCCTTAGGGCTTCTCAGCCCAACATGGTATCAGAGCAGTTAGAGTTAAAATTATTATTCAGCAAGCCTTACAACAAAGAAGACATGTCAACCAGAAAGGAGAGGAGCTCCTCCAACAGCTCTCCCGGTACTACTCCTACCCCACCACCTGTCTCTGGCCTACAGACAGAGGAAGGGACTACCACGAGACCAGCAGCTGGGTCCACGGAAACGCCAGCAGGCTTCGATCCAAGCATGATGGAGAAGTTTTTCTCCTTCATGTCCTTCTATGAGCAGCACCAGCAAGGAGTACCTGCGCAGTCAAACAACAGCAACAACAACAACGTGACTCCTATGAGTCTCGACGGCTCATCCTACGCACGCGGGATTCAACAACAACAACAACAGCCTACCTTTGCGCCGTACGAGCCCCAACGTGGCTCCGTCAGCTTCATGCCGCAACCGCAACCTGCATCAGGACAAGAAAGGACATTGGATGCGTTACAAGTCCAATCGCAATTCGTGCATGTCCTAAAACTGCAAACGACAAAGCCTTTCGACGGTAGAGATTTCTTCACCTGGTCGTTCGAGTTTGAACTGATGATGGAAGGAGCACAGATTCTCGGCTTCTTCGACGGGTCCCTGCCATACCCAACAAACGGGACACAATATGAGAAGCAGCAATATACATATCAGTCAATGATGGCGTACACGATTCTGCTGAGGAACATCACCCCAACACAGCAGCAGAACATCAGAACTTACCGAGGCTACGGCAACTCCGCGGAGCTCGCGTACAACCACCTGAAGAACCTGTATCAAGCAACAGACATCGTAAACCAAAGCAGGTTAATTGCGCAGTTGACAACGATTGAAATGAAACCAGGCGAGAAAGGCATGGCTTATATCAGCCGCTGCCGCGAACTGCGCGACAAGCTTCTTCGATGCGGCGGGTCAATTTCAGAAGACGCCTTTGTCACGGTGGTCATCGGCGGTCTCGGCCCCCACTGGCGCTCCACTCGCGCCATATTACGAGCACACGGGAGGATCTCCGAAGCGGCACTCTGCGCCGAAATTCATGCTGAGCAGCAGGACATGGACCTGCAAGAGGAAAGACACAAGAAGAAAGCTTTAGCACCAGAATTTGCTTTTCACACTCAGCGACGACACAACGGCAACAACAATCGACAACAGCAAGTGAAAACGGTACCTCCGTTCTGCCACATCTGCAAAACCTCGGGCCATCCTCGCACGCATTGCCCATCTCGTCAGACGACACCACAGCGACAACTGCGGCCTTCAAGCTCCCAAGTTGCTTCAACGCAAGCAAGTCCGACAACCACGATCCAAGCTTCAACGACTTCAACTGGACAACCTGCACAAGGAGCAAGAAACATAGTCAACTGCATGGTGAAGATAAGCGATTCTTGCACAACAGAGTCACCACCCCACTACTCACCAGAAGAAGAGCTCGACAACAGGACGCCTCGCCGCGAATCACTCCAACCGAATCCGACTTACGCCGCCATCGCTCAAAGTGAACCGTCCGGCCAAGACACTTGGTTCTTGGATAGTTGCTGCGGGCAACACATGTGCTCGTCCGGGCGCTTCGTACAACGCGAACATCGACTCCAGCGAGAAGTAGTCATCACGGTCGCCAACAACCAGAACCTGTGCACAAGACGACAAGGAGTCGTTCAACTTCAATCAAGAGAAACTAACGTCATACTACACATGTCAAAGGTACTCATCGCTGAAGGACTCGGTTACAACTTACTGAGTGTTAGCCAACTGATGGCGAAGGGGATTCACTTGGAAGCCGACAGCACCACCCAGGAGTTCAAGCTATACCATGGGAGAGGCGGTCTCTACTTCGGGAGAGCAGTGTTGAAGAACAACGTCTTCGTTCTCGACTTCGTTCCCGACCTGGGCACTGCAGACAGCGACGCCATCGTGAACTTTACTGACTGGACACACCCTCCGGATCTCGATCCCGACTTCAGCCCGGGAGGTTTCTGGTACTCCCACACTATCCCTGAAGCAGAACAAACACGAGCGTTAGCGACGATTCAACAAACGACAGCAGCTGAGACAACATCGGCAGCAGCAACAACTTCGGCAGCAACATCGGCAGCAGCAGAGACAACATCGGCAGCAGCAGAGACAACATCAGCAGCAGCAGGAACAACGACACCAGTCATCGTCCACGAAGCACCACCAACACCCGCACAACAGCTGAATCCGACTCAACGTGAAGTCCACCGAAGCGCCAACTTCGTCGCCAGTTTTTACTCCAACTCCGACGCATACCAACGTTCACCCGGACACCGCGCCTCTGAAGATATCTGGCACGCACGCACAGGACATCCAAGCAACACGGTCTTAAATAACACGATAAGAGCAGGAGTTCTTGACAAAGACTCCCTACTACTACCCGACGGCAGAGAACTCCAAAAGGCACGAGGGACTTGCCTTATATGCCCCGAAGCTGACTTACCTCATCGACCGTTCGCTCCACATCACAACCCGAGCGCACCAGCGTACGCACCACTCAAAAAGGTTTACAGCGACATCCTCTACAATCTCGAACCAGGACAAGTCACCTACAACTACACCATCACCTTCATCTACGCCGCCACTCGATACGTCTGGCATCGCAACCTACCCAGCCGCGACATGGCACTCGCAGCATTCGCCGCATGGCTACCGATAGCAGAGAGGGAATTGGGAACGCAGCTGAAAAGCTTCCAGTCAGACGGAGGTGGCGAGTACACCTCTCAGCGCTTCAAGCAGTTCCTGGCGGAAAGAGGGATCAAGCAACTCCTCTCCCTTACCTACGCACATCAGCAGCAAGGTGTTGCAGAAAGGATAAACAGGACTCTGCAGAACAGCATGCGCAAACTGTTACGTGGCATGCGGCTACCCAACCACCAGTGGCCAGCAGCAATGGACCATGCTGTCATGCTGCACAATTTGCTGTCGTCGTCGTCACTCCCGAACAACGCATCACCGCATCTGCTGTGGACAGGGAAGCAGGGCAGCACAAAAATGATACGAGTTTTCGGGTGCATGGTACAGTACCGACCCCCAGAAGCACGAGCGGGAAGATTTTCGCAACGGGCACAGTGGGGACTACACCTCGGCATCGAGAAAAATTACAACGCGTGGAGAATCTTCGACGTCCACACAAAAGAAACAGTGGCAGCACGTGATGTGATCTTCTACGAGCGACTCACCCTTCAGACGTACCTCGCCAACTTGCACGAGAATCGGGACCTCACAGGTGGCTTTCGTGGTGACCGAGCCTTCGCATCAGCAGTGGACGAAGCAGACTGGGATGAACAGAACGTTGACAACGCATCGGAAGAAGCCGGACCTCTCCCGTACTGCTCCGTCGTCGAAGAAAATCCTCGCGAC